TTTGGGGAGGTGGGAGGGAGGTGCCATGGAGTAAAAGGCCGAATTTCAGCCTGAGCTTCAGAGTTTTCTATTTTAAACCGTAGCTGTGCAGTGATTTAGCTGTTGCTAAAATGCAGCAACAGTGGCATAGAAGAGAAGAAATTGTGCCACTGCACTTGCAGGCAGTAGGGCAAAGGGATTCATAGTTATCCAAATGACAGGAAAAACAGCTGCGTGTTTCCTTGTCCTCTGGGCTTACCCTCTAATGTAGTAGTACTGGGTCTCTTGCGCTGAACAGCCTTGCCGCTGCTACGTATTCACTGTGTGGGCTTATGGTGGAGGGGCAGCAGCTGGGATACACACTTCTGAATTTTACTTGTGGAATTTTTAGTAGCTCTAGTTAGGCTTCACTTACAAATAGCATAATTCTTCCTTCAAGGAAGTAGAAAGGCAGGAAACGAAAGCAAATCATTTCATGTGTGTGTATCTGATTGAATTTTGAATAATCCTGAAGGGCAGCAGGCTAAAAACAACAGCAACAAAGTATCTTTGCCCACTATGTGTGCCTATGTTCTGCATCTCAACTAATGAATCGTAACAAAATATGAACTCGTTTCACAAGAGTTAGTTCTTGTGCAAGAAGGGGGACATTGAGGTTTTTTTTTTTTGGGTTTAACTGAGCAGTGCGTGCATTTTCTCAGGGAAGACCCTGTTTTAAGAGAGACACCTGCATCCACTTCAACCTTCCCTCCTTTGTGAGCCCTGCTTTTGCCACCAGCCAATTAGTGAACTCAGGAGGACGTTCTGGGTCAAGCTATACCAAGTTCTGCAAATCCTCATTAACGCTAATTAGTGCTCAGTAGGTTAATTGGTGGTGAAGCTCATCTTTTTTTAATTACTTGAGCAAATGAGCCAGTGGGACCTTGTGGTCAGCTTTGAATTATTCTGTTTGTTTTGATGCTCCTCATTTGATTGTGTAAAGCCAGATGTTTGTTGCCTAGATTTAAGGACTGTTTGCTATTATGAGGAGTGAGAAGAAGGGAATGTGAAAAAATAAAATTGGGGTCTCTGTTGATACCTTGGAGCAATTCAGATACAAAGTGGAAGAGTCGTTTCCATTATGCAATGGAAAATATTGTTACGAACTAGTATGTTGCCTTTAGTTTACTCTTTAGTTTGTCATCCGCTTAATGAATTAGTGTCGTGTTGTTAGCACAGATTTCCAGACAGACTGGAATCATCTTGACCCTCTTGGGAAGCTGTTGCCGAGGTATTCTTTGCACGAGGTATTCTTCCCCCACCCCGGTGTTAGATGACTTGAGTAATGACTTCTTTTATCACTTTTTCATAATAACCCTTTGTTTGTTTTTTTTTTTTCCAGATTTTTTTTCTGAGCTACTATTTGTTTGGTTTAACTCAAAGCATTTTGTCTGTCCTTTGTCCTTCATGTAATCACGGATAGATGATGTGTCTCCCTTACTCGTTCTGAAGTTACTAACCAACCAGCTTAAGCCTATTTCACTGTCACTTTCTGGGTCACTGAATCCTGTAAGGATGTCTGGTTTTGTCATTTCCTCACTTTGACATCATCATCTAGGTCCTGAGTATAAGCACAACTATATCCAGGATTCAGAGTACGTTCTCATGATTTTTTTTTAATTTTTATTTTTTGGCTTGATGCATTTTAACAGACCCATCCATAGATCCGGCTTTGGCAAGACTTTGTGTAGGAGGGTTTAGACACTGGCACTGAGTGGCTGGAAAGCAGAATTAGCATTGACAATCATGGCTAATACTCAGGACTGATTTACATGCAACGTTTCTGTGGGCAAGGCCTAACCTTGCTCGTAGGAGTCGGAGTTCACTGTTAGTTTTGCACCATAGCGTGAGGGAGACTGATGAGATGTCTGTACTTTGTTCTGTTATCTGTTGGTAACAGAAGAAAGCCTCTCCTGCAAGCAGGGAATCTGTTGATATCAGTGCAAACATGAGGGTCTTGTTAAGAAATCCACTTAACCTGACTTTCCTTTCAGGGTTGTACTGGGAGATTAATTTCTGTTAAAAATCAAATGCCTATCCATTTCAGAAGAGCTGTGTTGCATTCACCTCTGTGTATTAAGGGTTTGTTTTTTACTACTTGACTGGTCTTGACTCTCAGTCTATTTAATCTTCACTTGTATTTAAACAACAATTGCTTTCATTCTGCCATGAGCTTTTCTTTCTCTGCACAGATGAGATCCAATATAATTTCCCAAATGGGAAACTCAGATATGAGTTCAGTTATGAAATTGTTCTTTATAATTAGCAATATCAAAGATTATGTAGCTGTGGCTTCCTTGGAGCAGCACTCTTGTCAGTCATGTTCAAAAGTCCCTTGATAGCACACTTTCCTCCACACATCGCAAATAAAAGTTTAAACAGCCTAACTATTAGCGGCCTGTAGCAGATAACATCTTGCATTTTATCTGTTGCTATATGATAGGCGGGCAGTTAGAGAATTTGTTCCTCATGTCTTTTGCTGCCTCGGCTAATAGCATTCTCAATATCAGAATTTTGTGGAAAATGTTGCATATTTGTCCCTTAGAAATAACTTTCTTGATTAGTTTAAGGTTTTTTTTTTTTTAAAGTCTATCCAGGCTGCCTTCTGGTTCTCCTCCTACTGAGATGGTAGTGACCCAGCCTGCATGTTCTCCTTTACATGAGCAAGCGTTCCCTAAACCCACAACCCTTTACTTTTTCTCTCCTGCTGTAATGATAGTATGCCTTTGGAATATTTTGTTCTTTTCACTTCTTTCATTCACAGGATACTAGTAGCTTCAGACAGTGTTTGGCTACTCTTACCAGTCTTCCAAGTTCTCAGAAGTCCTCTACAATCAGCGTGAGGTTGCACAACACAGTATCAGTGTGTTGTGCACACGCTGGTACTGATAGAGACTGCCAACTCTGTAAGCTTGTTCGAACTTGGAGAAATCTCGTGTCTCACTTTGTGTGTGCCATCCTCCTGTCCACTGATCCTATGTAGTGCGCTATTTCTACTCTCCTACCTCTTTTGCACTGTTGGAGCTTTTATTGTATGTGCGCTTGGTTATCTTACAACCAGCCAGTCTTTCTTACCAGCTGGATCTTACGAGCTTCAGAAGCTCCCATGCTGAAACTCTGCTTTTAGTGGAGACTTCTAGTCCTTTCTTCATTGAATGCGTGTGGATTTAATGATATAAGAGCTCTTAGATTTTCTGATGCTCTTAGTTTTTCTGTAGTTTTACTTCCAAATCTGTCATCAACTTGTGTTTTATATCGAGGAATGTGTAAAACACCGATGTGACTGCAGGCAGAAAAAAGAACCTGGCATATCAGTTACAAGTGTAATTCTGCTGTCCCAAGGAAAGGAGAGGAAAAAAACAGTGTCTGGAAATGCTGATAGTTATAAGGGGTTTAACAGAGGGTGAATGGGCTCTGCAGTTTCCTGGTTCAGGTGGCTAGACTGGAGACCATAGGGAGAAAATAGAAGGATTCCTCCCTTGCTTTCTTGGACATCTCCTTAGGCACTGAACAGAGGACTTTGAGTCTGGATATTAACCTAGTGGAATGTTAAGTGAAATGTAAGCCCACATAGATGCTATAGACATCTTGGAGATTCTTGTAGTTACTTTCTTGTTTGAAGTTAGCAAACTGCTTCAGTGAAAGGGAGTTGCCAGTTTAAAGCTGTTGTGAGCTTGTTGACAGCAGCAGCTGTGCTTACTGGGATTTCCATTTCATACACCAAATATATGTGAACTTGTAAGCTAACCCAAGGAAGATATCAATGTTCATATTTGAGACGTGTATCCACATTTGCAGCATAACCAGTGGAATTACTGCTTGTGAATAAAGATGTGAAAGAACGAGCAGACTGAAAATTGAAATGGCTGGTGCGAACATGGTGCAAATGGGATCAAAAAATGGGAAAGAGCCATATAAGCAAACAGATCTGTTCTATTCATGGTCCCCATCCCAGTATTAGGAACAAGTGTGAGACTCAGAAAAGGGGAAAGAGAGAAACACCCAATCCCACAGTAACTTTCAACTAAAATAGAGTATAATATGTATTTCATAATATTCTGATATTTAACAGCTATTTGAGACCTCAGTTCAACAACATTTGGACATCTTTGTTAGACTTACATGCCTAGTTAAGCGCTTTGAAACTGGATCTTAGACATCATTTGCCTATTTTGGGCATAAAGTTCTCAAAGTGAGTGGTGTGGTGTGTTTTGCTTTTTTTTTTTTTTAAATAGGAATCAGTGTAGGTAGTAGCTGTAATGATTTATACATGTATATTAAATCTAGTCAGTTTTGTCTCTTTGAACTGATTGACAAGAATATCATATTTTTCACTTTGTTTTTACTTTCACTTTCTGTAAATTCAATAATAATTTTTCAGGCCTTCAAAATGAAGTAAACAAACCAAAGGGAGTTTTAATTAAAAACTGGGTAGAAAGTGGGTTTTTTTTTTTTTTCAGTATAGGTGGAAATGAGAGTGTTCTTTAGAAGACAAAATTAGTGATTTGTGCCACTTTCGGTTATTTTGGGTCATTTTGCAGGTGTGATAGAAGCCTTTTACCATGTGCTAAGCTACAGCACATTGCTCCCTCTCTCTAAGGCATTTTGTGGGTGTCATGGTTTGTGTGTATAATAGTAAAAATAGATCTTCTTTTATATGCTCTATATCACTTGAGATGTCATATTTGGTACAAATCATATGAAAGGCCTATAGACATCACCATCAGGATGATGGTGATATCAGGGGTAGATCAACTAAATGTATACTTAGACAAAATGGCCTTAAAAAGGAGGGTTTTTCGTTATTATAGAGTGCTCTTGATAGCATGCAGCTTAAAGAAAGATGAGATTCTTTTTTATGCTACAGCCATTGTAACAAATGCTAACAAAGCCGAAGCTGCCAAGTACTTTAAATATAGTTGACTTTTATCTTGAAATTATCTGCCTACTCACTGATATACATATTTCTTTTCCTCCCTCAGCGTGAACGAACGTGATCATTTGTTAAAAAGGCTTGGTAGGAAAACTCCTCCAAGCCTTTTCCGAGCTCATTCTGTCCAGCAAAGTGTATCACGTAAGTAGTGGATCATGTATGCACGTGTGTTTCACAGCAGTCAGTCCCAGATGAGTGAAGCAACGGATGATTATTTTTTAATTAAATTGTAGGTAGAGATAATCTAGTGCAGAGGGTGAGCTGCCAACCAAGAGACATACATTTGGAAGTGGAATTAGTGTATTTGGCCCTAGGCAAGTGGAGCTCAAACGTGGGTAATTCCCTAGGATCCAATCAACAGGCCCAAATGACAAAATCCCAATACGCTTATTCTCTACATGTAAAATCCTGATAGTCTCAGGAATACTGTAAAATCAAAAACTCTGCAGGATAAAATAAATGTTGTGATAGAGCCTTGCTTAAATAGAAATGGTTCCTTTCTGAAAAGTCTTATCAGCTGAGGCTTTGAGAATACAGCAGTATTTCAGTGGTGCAACTTACATGTTTTATATACTTCTGATGAAGCAAGCCATGCCGTGCAGAACGGCTTCACTCATATCCCTCTTTTTGCCCTCTGCTGGGAGAAGAGATGCAACCTTACACCTTGCTACTGCTACATAGAATACTACTATGAGTAGCTAGAGTGTCTGCTGCTATATAGAATAAACTGTATTTCTTGCTTATGTTGAGGTGATCCAGTTATTCACCTTCATAGAGGACTGTGTGACAAGCCTGCAACAACTGTATGACAAACCTGTGTGTGTTGTCAGGGCTTCCACAGTGTTAAAAAATAATGTAAAAACTCTGTAGGCCAGAGGCACCCAAGGACTAAGATGTGCTGGGGGAGCAGGTAGTCCAGTCACCCCTTCGAGTGATGAAGCGCAGTCTTTCTTGTGATTAGGCAGTTGGCCAAAATATGCTCATCTTACTTAAGAAAATAGCCCCCCTGCGTGCTGTGCTGCTGCTCACGGGGCAAGGGGCAGGCACACAGGGTTTGGGTTTTGAACCTTTGTTTGCCTGTTTAAGAATCCCAGCAAGTTAACCGGAGTCAAACCTCACTCATCCTTTTCTTTAGCAGGCTCTTGTGGTCTGGGCCGTGGAGGTGGGGATGGGATGTGAGCACGCAAATGTCGGAGTATTCCTATATTCCAGGGGGCATTTGACCAGAACGGGAGGGAAGGTGCTGGATCCGCTGGTTGTTGTCCCCTGCAGACAGGGGGTGCCCTGGGTGCTGAGGCCAGAGCAACCGTGGGGCTGTCGCTGCCAGAGGGATGCAGGGCCTTCTACCATCAGCCCACTGCCCCGGCCTCAGGGCAGCCCTGGGGCCACGGGCTCCCTCCAGGATTTACCCCTCTGTGTCACGGAGCTGGGGTTGCTGCCTGCGGCTCTCCTCTGGCCCACAAACGCACTCTCTGAGGAAATGCCAGAGGAGGTGATTGGCAGAACAAATCTGTAAAACACATAAATTGTTGTCAAGGAAATCTGCTGTAGAGACTTAGCACAGAGCGGAAAGGAGATACACTGGTGGTGCCTGGTCAGACTTGGTCTATGCTTTGAGTTTTGTGGAACACATCATCAGGTTATTCGTAGGTGAATAGTTATTGGGAAGAAAAAATGAGATATCAAATGAGCCGTGATTTGGATAACCAGTCCCCTATAAATGCAAATGATTAAGTGCTAAATGAGTCAGCCTAGTCAGGACAGGTTACAGTCAGCCGTCTGTTTTTCACATGAAAGTAAATTTTCATTGTAAAGCTGCTAGGACTGAAAAGGCTTTTTATGGCATATCCATGATTCTTTAAAACTTCTGTCGTCTCTTGTCAAATGTTATTTTGAAATGTTGTGTAGCTGCTATATGTACAAGGCCATGTGAAATCCTGGGAACATATGTGCTGTTTTCACAACCCTAAATTGTACAACTGTTTACTAAATGCTGGAAATCTTCAAAGCAAAGAATTGATGAATAGGGCAGTAGCCTTGACATGCTGGGCCAGTATCTTAAATCACACTACATGCACTCTGTTTGAAGTCTTGAACTGTTCATGTGTTTTCACCAGACTCCAAGTTCCCAGCCTGTGAAGGCCACTTCTCCCAAAAATTGCTCGTGTGACTTCAACTCAGAATCTGACACTTGCACATAAAGCAGGAGAACGGTTTGTTTAGTTAGAGCTGACAAAGGCTTAGGCAAATCGATTGCTCTGACCACAGCAAGGAAGAAAAACACACTTCAGTTTCCTCGCAGATTGTAAAGTAAATCTCAAATCAATGCTGCATCTTTATTTTACTTTTGATAACAGCTATTTCTTAATTACTGGTGAAGAAACAATGCCTAAATCCCTTTTTGTTTCCAATCACATGGAAATGAGACAAATGCTAGAAAAATCATACAAGGAGTTTCTGGGCTGCTGCTAGTGGTCTACAGGGCAAAAAAAGATGGCTTAAAGCAAGTCTGCACAGTCCTTTTCTGCAAGATAGACATTCAGTCTGCTTATTTCCTTAGCTGTGTGCTGGTGAGCTGCGTCCTACCCAAAAACATTAGCACAGCACTTGCCTTAAGGCACGATCCGGGGCTGGTGTGCTCACATTAAGCGCTGTGTTCTGGCAGTTTTAGCCCCCAAACTAAAAGGGAGGCACACAGCCACGAGGCCGGTACTTTGCCAGTCATACATAAACACCAGCCAGTACCAGTTGCTTCAGGTTGCTCTCCCAGTAGAGGAATTGGCTCAGAGCAGCTGCCCGGGAGAGTAGTTCATGCCCATTTGGAAGGGACCTCATAGGTATACTCGTAAGCGTGTTAGACCTTTGTGGTTGTTTTTCTTGCTCTGGCTTTTTTTCTGTGTTCTTGTATCATGTAGAACTGCCAGAAACATAAAGCAAATTTAGCTACAAACTGTACCATCAAAGTTTGTGCAGTTTCTTCCCATCAGTATGAGAGCTGGGAAGATTTATTAACAAATTAGGGGAAAAAAATCTTATCCGGTGAAGTCCCAGTTAGATGGTATTGTCTTGAGGCTTTTAGTGGTAGAATTTGTAGTGATGACAAGCTTGTGTGCTGATGTCTTGGTGAAATCTTGTAGGCAGTGGTGATGGCACTCGCCTGCAGGACTTGATGCAGCTCCTGTTGGAGGTGCCTGTGTGAAGTCGGGGGGTTCCCGTCTGCTTTCTAAAGCCTCTTAAGAGCGAGCAGGAAATGCCACCGGGTTGCTCTCACAGGCATTCTTTGGACCCTTCCCTTGGGTGCGGTGGGGCCACCGTTCCAGGGAGGGAGCAGTCTTAGGTTTGACTCTTAAATGCTCTTAGTCTTGAAGGATTTGCTGGCAATTAGGTTTTTCCCAAGTGAGTTCTCCAAGGCTCCATACATGTTAGCGTCTCTTCTTGCTCTGAGCCTGTGGAAGTACAGCTGTCATGTCAGTTCAGTGCCAGGGCCTAGGAGCACTCTCTTGACCTAGTAGCATCTACCTCCAACAAGCCCCGTGGACAGAGAAAAGCCATTCTTGTTTCTTCTCCTCCTGCATGACCAGCCCCTCTCACCTCAGAGCAGCAGGATGAGGCCAGTGACGTTTTCCCCTTAGTCAGGTACCCTCCACCCTGGCTGCCCATGTGGAAGGTCCCCAGTGATCCCTGTAGTGCCTTTGCTCTTATAATTCAGAATATCTGCTGTCACTGGTTGGTTGTGATTTGTCCGAGCACGTTCTTAAAAACAGAGCTGCACGCTCCCCCTGAAACGTGGAGAGCTCTGCCTGAATGAGGATTACTGCGCTTGGCCCAGATTTCCTATGCTGGGAGAGAAAATCCCTCTTCCTTTGACAGAGTATGACGACTGCGTGGAGTAAATCTGAACACAGAGGGTATGCTTTGCACCTTATTAATCAATGGAGAAAAAGCACCTGTCATTTGAGGTTTGTTTCACAGTATGGGGGCTGGCGAATAATAAATAATAATAATGTGTTCATGCTGAGGGCTCTAATCTCACCATTTATTCTCCACTAGCAGATACCTTTTTCCTCTCGCTTTTCTCCTGGTGCATTTTCATTTGAAAAACAACCGGGTAGCTATTTGAGATGCTTTTTAAACTCCATTTCCTCTTATACTGAATGCATTTGAAAAAATATATATTTGATATGTTTTAAAAGACAACTAGATATTCACTGACTGTCGAGGTGAGTTGCAATGTTTTAAAATCAATTTTTTTAAGAAAAATAGCAATGGTTAGTTTATAAGTGATGCTGTGGCATCTGGTACCATGTTTTCTACATACAAATACCAGTAGTTTAGTTTCTGGGAAGACAATGATGGGACCATTTGTCAGGAATTCCTCTTGGGTCCTTTAGAAAACACAGACATAGTTTATCAGCAGAGAAATGAATGATTTCTGTAAGTATTCGTCAAAACGTCCAAGACAAAGCAGCTCTCACTTTCCCAGGATAAGCTCAAGAGAGGGTTCCTTGAGAAGTCATGCTGAGTTAGCATTTACTGTTTAATTGGTAAATATGAACTGTGACATCTCATCAACTCTCTTTAAAAGCTACGTAGAACCAAACTTTTGGCCTGAGAGAGACTTTGGCTGGCCAAGCAATATTCTAACACTGATTTTTATTTTGTTAGAGATATTTTGATTTCTGAAAGGAATAATTCCTTAAAAAAAAAAAAAAAAGCGGAACCTTAGTAGATTTGAATCTGGGCATATTTTTCCAAACACAAACAACATCCTGGTAAAATGCATGTTATACTTGGGACTATACTAAACTGTAATACCACTGCATGTATAAAACAGTAAAATGTTGGTTGGGGAGGTTTAAAGTAAGGAGGGAACCAGCTCTGGAGCTAACAGGCTTCCAGAACTGGCCTCCCTCATGCTGGTTGGGCTTAAACAAGCCATGGACCATCGACTCGGCTGTCTCAGGTGAGAGTGCGAGTAGGAGGCCTCTGGAGTAAATCTCTGAAGTACCTGGAGCTGCACACAGTCTTTCCCGGAGCAGATTCCCTGGAATAAAAAGAGCCCTCTGGACCCTCTTCGGTCCTGCTCTCACAAGCTGTTGGGATCATGCAGGGTCCTTTGCAAGACATATGTATGCAGACCATTTCTCTAATCCAGGACTGGACAGACCAGAATAGTCATTGCAGTGAACAGGGGAAAGTTCTGTTAACTTAGAAGCCTAATGGGAGACTAGATTCTGATCTACTAATAGAATATCAAAGCTAAAAAAAACAAGGTGCTTTTAAAATTCGATAGGTAGCCTGATAATATCTGGTACCGGTGAAACCTTAGATTTGAAGAGAATGCAAATCTCTTCTTAACAAATGAGCCACGCTGTCAGATATTCAGAAGTCTTCCTTACTTTGCTCCCTTAACGGAAAGGCCATAAGTACAAAGGCTCTTCCTTCTGAGGCAGCCAGGAGCGTTTCTTTGAGGCTTTTGTGCCCAGAAGGCCCCGAAGAAACGCTCCTTCGTGGGCTGCTGCGGCACTGCACGACAATGAGCGCCTTGTTCCCCGTGCGGGGTGATAGGTGTGGTTTTAAAACCAGAGTTAGGGGAAAAGTTCAAACTTCCAAAAAGTTCCCTAGTCAGCGACAGATGGAAACTTTCATTGTTTTTGGATGGGGTCTGAGAATAGTGGAAACACAGAGCTGCTTCGGGAGCATGGACAGGACTCAAGCGCTTTCTGATTCAGGGAGGCACAGTCAATGCAAGTGCTTTCTGATTCAGGGAGGCACAGTCAGCTGCCTGAACGACTTGAAGCTCGATTTTAAAAAACAAAAAAACAAAAAAAAAACAAAAAATCCTGCATAAAACGAAGTCACCTTCCTGTATCGAGAACAAGGAAAAGTTAAATAAACGGCCAAATGTTAAACTTCGAGTGAATGAAGAGAATATGCAAGTCCCAGGGTTATAGCCTTTCCCATGTTGTATGCACAGCACGCTAGTGGCTGCTGTGTCAGAATGGATCAAGGACGCTAGGGTGTAAGAATACCGTAGGTCCTCTTAGCGCAGCCAAAATTTTCAGCCCAACGGGTTTTCTACTGGTGTGAGAGTTAAACACAGATTTATTTGATTGCACTTTGCATTGGCCTTGCAGAGGGACTAGGCTGCCTAGCTGTTTATAGGCTTGTGCTAACACTGGAAATAAGCAGATAATGGAAAGAGAGCTAAAGCTGACGGACTTTGCAAGCTTGTGTGATAAGTCCCAGTTTGGAGTAGTTGCAGCGGTTGAAGAATCTACTGCCCTGAATGATGTTATTGGGTAAGTAACTAGAGCAAAGCTGTCTTGATGCAGGCCAGGTTATGGGGCACTGCCTTCAGTCCTATAGGGCTTAATCTTGTGGTCTTTGATCAAATTGACTTGCTACTGAGATTTTTGCCAAAAAATTAACAGTATACTGACCTTTGGAGTGGAACAAACCCACTGAGGGTATATAAGTGTGAATCCACCTCCCCCTCCCCCGCCCCCAACTGAAAGCCTGTTTTGTAAATGACATTTCCTTTGCAATTATCCAGCATGCACATACTTTTTCCAAACGAGAGTTTGAATTTTGTGAATATATTTTGTGAACCTTCAGCTAGAGACAGCAAAAAACAACCTGTACCTCTGTAGTTGTACGTATGTTGGCATGAAGTGCTCAGGGAAAATAAAAAGAGATGCTGGGATCAGTCATGTAATCAGATCAGAGTTCATATGCTCTTGCAGTCAGCCCACTAGGGAAATGGACTCAAATCTGCAGCAAAGCCCCTCTGGCTTCAGAGGTGATGTCTACCTGGATCCTGTGAGACAGGAGTGAGGACCCTGGCCGTTATTTGAGCAAGGGTCGTCTCTAGTACTGTGGGACTTTTCTGTGCTGCTCACAATTACTTAGGACCTAGTACCTGCCTTATGTGGATGAATCAGCCAGAGGAGAAGATCCAGGAGTGCTTGAGCCTCTGTGCTCAGCTCACTTAGTCCTGATTTAGTTGCCAAGGTAGGTGAAGCTTCAACAAGCCTCACTCAGGGGATACCATTCACTTCTGGCCTTCCAGGCTTCTCTTGGCTATTAGTGTCAGCCACGTGCTTCAAAGCAGACTGTGTTTGGGCATGAGTGGAGGAAGCTCAGTGGAGATCTACTGGACCAAACTCTGTGTAGGGACCTCACAGCCCCCCTAGCCTAGGAGGGTGATCAGTCCCATGTGCCATATGGGGGTCCCCTCTTTGCTATGAATGCAGTCTGGTACCTGGTCTGGGGAAAAGAGGCCTTGAGAGTGTTAAGGGGGGGGGCGACTCCTGAAAGGCAATTGCAAGGTCTCGGGGTAGTCCTTGAGACTTCTGTCCAGCTTTATGAGGTGCTCCAGCCTGGATAGACCCAGGGTAGGGTTTCAGAAGTCACAAGTTCCCACTTCCAGAGCTGCACCGAGGGAGATGGCAACTTTCGTGGATATGAGCCATGGTATCATTCTTGGGTTCCTCTAGGCAGAAATCACATCTCCTAAGTCTTGGCTTACTTTCTTGGTGCAAAGCCTTGCCTGATTCTGTATATGCTGTGACTTTTCTATTTTTCCATATTTTGTGACTGTCTTAATCACCCTGTCTTCCTCTTTTCCCTTGTGATTGCCCATTTTCAGTGAAAATCAGTGTTCCCTTGTGTCACTGTCCTTTGCTTTAGTTTTCCATTCAAGAATTTTTGCAGGTCATATCTGGTTTAAATATTGTTCGGTGTTTCACCACGTTGGCCCTTTAGCTGTCATGATTGCTTTACCGGTAATGTGTTTTCCAGATGATGTCAGACACATCACTTCCCTTATCCACATAACTTAGAGGAATGTGTCAGATTTCTTTTAATTTGAAAAATTTCAAGGAAGGTCAGAAGATTGTGCTAGGCAATGGGACAGATTTGTGCAAAATAGTCTTCATCTCCAGAGTATGCTGATGTTTGTTCTATTCAAGGGAGACTAGCTAAGAGAATGAAGAGTTTCTCGATGTGATTTGCCAGATGCCACCTGGAAATCTGTACAAAAATTTCTTGAATGGTGAAACAAGAAATATGTGACTCAGATGGCAGTTGTGGACTAGACATTTTCATGTTCCCCCAGGGAAAGTGTAGATCTCATCAAGCAGACTGTAGAGGAGTCGAGCAAAAATGCAGGTCTCTACCAATCTGTTAAGTTTTTGAAGATCCTCTGCCCCTGTGGGAGCTAACCTAGTGTCCAAGTCCATCTGTAGTTTTTTGGTCAGGCTAACTCAGGGAAGCGTTGACCATGTACACTAAACTGGCCTGGTAAGGGGAGCAGTAAGACAGAATTGGCAGCAAACTGTCCTTTCTGTGCCACATGGGCAATGTCATGAACAGCTCTAAATAACAGAGATACATCACAGCGAAGAAGATTATTGCAGTCTCGGTCATGTAACTTCAGTGATGCCTAAAAAGGCAGGTTGCCTTTCTGAAAGCAGGTTGCACCCTTGAGCTGAAGCCTAGTGATTTTTTTTTCTTCCTTTTCCTCTTTCAGATGGGTATGCATTTTCTCAAGAAGAACATGGTGTTGTTTCCCAGTCACAAGTTGTTCGATCCTATGATACAACCAAAAGGAGAGCAGAAGTGCAATAATGTGATACTTTCCTTGATTGGCGGTGGAAATAATGGGATTTGGATCGGTGCATCCACTGTTAACACATCCGTGACTAAGGTTGGCAGCAGCAGCAGCAGCGAAAACACCGGAGAACTCATTTCTGTGGCCTTAGCCAACAGGTTTCTGTATTCTCCCTGCAAACCTTGAGTACCTATTGTGGGGAGGAATCATTGTTTGAATTCGGTTGCAAAGCTCTGCCTAAACTGTTGTTTATGTTGTTTGAAGCATTTGACTGTGCTATGTGAGGTGTGAAATTAAAAACAATCTTTTACCACTATTTAAAACATCAACATAAGGTTATTCTGGGGGAAAAGTAGAAAATTTATGTTCCATGAGAAATCAGCCTTTGCTTAATTGGAACAGGGGTGCTGAGATTTCCTGTTTTGTTACAGGCAGGCCAAGTGCACACGGCTGCATGCAAACCTTATTCTCTCTAATATTCACTGTTTACGAGATTTGACTGAAGGTTTTAACAGACAATTTGGCATAAAACTCTCGATCTCAATGAAAACACAATCTGTAGCAAAGAATGCTTATTTGCCTTCTCATAACAGAATAACACGATAGCACTGAATTATATAGAATATTTCTTGTCCTCTTACAGGATTTATTATGACTGTATCTTAGTTTTCTAAAAACCAGTTAATAGCTTACTGTTAAAGCGAGGATGTGGCACTCGGAGAGCTTGGCAGGGCAGCTGTGTTGATGCATGGCATTCTGCACAAAGATTTGAAATAGGTGCCCCTGTTCTGGTATCTCTGCAGGTTGTATTTGAATGTGCACTTCAAATTTGGCCTAGGATTTCCCTCTCTTATCCCATTCCCCTTTTAACAGTACAACAAAACAGTGAGAATTTAAAAGGTCAGTGGTTATTCTTCTGTAAAGAGACCTCCAGCAGTTGAGGTGAGGGGAGTACAAAGGAACTGCTCATGACTTTTGGACCTGGTCGGAGAGGAATTTTTCTGCAGTATTGCTCACCTCCTCCGCCAATGCACACATTTCCTTTCCAAACATCTGAAAAGCTTGTGCCTTTATCTCCTCTGCTGTTAGAGCTAAGGGGAATGCATGGGGGAGAAGTTTAGTCTGACTTTCACATGCAAAGGCATAAAATCTCTACAGGAAGAGGAGGAGAGATCAGTAAGCATCCTCAACTCAGTGCAAGGATGAAAGCTGAGGAATTACTACCGGAAGAGAGTAGGGCCAGGAACGTGCTTCATCTCCTCCTTGAGAAGCCTGAACAAGAGCCAATTCACTGGTGCTGGAGAAAAGCTATGCTGTGTAGAAACGCTCTGAGGTCATTTGGTCCAGAGGAAAGTCCTGATCCATCCATACGGTGCATTGCCACAGCTACGTTAGTTGTTTACCACAGCGAGGAACAAGAAAGTTAGGGAGGGTTTATGCACACGTGTGTACGTACACACACACACACACACACACGCACGCACGATCATTTTGTAGAAAAGACCTGCAGTTTGTTTGTTTAGCCAAAGTAGTCCCTTGTCTAGATCTAATCCATCAGCAGGTTTCCTGACACGCTCCGACTCTCAAGCTCTGGAAGGAAGGCTGGCCTCACTGACTTGCTGTGTGAATGAGACGAGCGTGCTGCTGCATATATTGGAACTCTGAAGGAAAAAAAAAAAAGGTGGGGGAATAAGTTAGAGCTGAAAGAGCTCATAGAAAGCCTATGCTGTCTTTCAGACAAGTTCTATTAATTCTGGTCACCAAGCCACGTTTCTGAATAGCATAAAGTAAATATTGCTGTGTTTTAGCCAGGTTTCGTGGTTAATACATACGCTACATGTGTGCATTTAAAAAGTTGGCGCTGTTTTTTACCCTATTGCCCATCATCCAGAACTTTTATTGATTTTAAATATATCTGAAAGCAATTTGAATATGAATATTTATGTTCACCGAGGAAAAGAAAATCACCAGCCTGGCCTATTGGCTTAATACTTCTGAAGGGTTGTGAGTAAATGCTGGCACGCAAGTGCGGCAGTGCAATTCCCAGAGCCACCTAGGCGGCCTGGTGTCCCTGTCCATATTAAAAATAGTTTTTGCTTCTGCGGCACCAGGCAGGATTGTTCTTGGGTTAGGCTGATGGCACAGAAGGAAAAGTCGTCACCCTCTTTCTGCGGCGCTAATGAGATAATTATGCAATAAGGGAAACTTGCAAATAGTTTTGCCATAGGCATGAATGTCAAGGGGCCAAGCGCGCGTGTGTGTATGTTTTTTGGGGAGATTAGGTGTGTATAAAAGCAGGAATCCTGGGGGAGAGAATAAATAAGAGGAGGCTAAACCTGATTTCAGGCACTTTTAAATCTTGGTGCTCATCTAACCTATTAAACACTTCCTTTTATTTAGAAAAAAAAATCTGTTTAGGAACTGTGTGGGGCACGTCTGGCCTCAGAAGTGCTAACTGTTTCTTCCTTTTGTAACCCCACAAGTAAAATTAACTTCCTACCGAGACAAAGCAAGACCAGTTTAGTGTGCTCTAAGGCACGCACTACACACTGATGGGTAAACATTTCAGAGGCTTTACATGAGAATACTGGAAAAAACTTTTTAAAACCTCTAAGTAATGAAGAAGGGCAAAGAAATATGTTAAGCAGAGAATAGAAAGGATCCTGGAGTCTTTTCCATTCTTAACTTAGTGCAACAAAGTTTTACACAGCATAATGAGAGAAGCCGGGGAGGAGCTGCTGTCATCTAGTGTGATTTATTTTATTAGTGCAAACTACAGGCTGTATCATTCTGACCTCGTGCTAAATTGAGGTCAGTGTGTGTCACAAACACAAACTCTCCCTAGAGTGAATAGGAGCTTAGACTGAGGTACGTGTGTTGGATGTCAGCTCAATAGAAGTTACACATGGGGTTTGTCACATGCTATACAGTACGTGGCACTGGGGCTAGCAGGTCAGACTTTATCTTCACTGTAAGGCCTTAATCTATATCTGAGTTAATCCTGTAGAGCCCACCCAGGTCAAGACCTGGCATTCTTCTGGTTCTTTGGAGTCATTATGGGAATTAATCTATTGTCCTGTGCTATAGCCTGGCTGGTGGAGTTCCTTGTCTTTGTGAACCGTGATTAGGTGTATTCCAGTGTTGTGTTAGCAAAAGCAGGAGGGTAGCTGTTCTGTATAAAGCAAATTGCTTGTTCGTTAACACAAATGCTTATAGCAGTAGGAGCAATCTTTGAAAGCACTATGTGAAAAGATTATCAACCAGACAGGGTATCAGAGCAGAAGGGATGGAAGATTTCTGCCTGACCATCCACGTTAGTCACCTAGGGTTGATCAGGAAAGGGATTCTTTGGCAGCCCACTGCACTGACCAACCTGGTGGCTTTTTTTTGAGTGTTCAGGAAGAAGTGGTGACTTTCCTAAGCTAAACCTGGATCCGGTTACTCCTTTTTGCAACAGTGCAATCACTATTTGCATAGAAGCTACTGTTCCTTTAACAATTCCCTAGTAAGAAATTAAAGATAGTGAGCAGGAGTCTAAGCTGAGCACTGCTGAGAAGCCTGTTGACATTTTCTTTTCCTTGACAGAGCTTCAGGTCTTGCTGTAGGGAGCTAACATGGGAAGTCGGTAATAACTTGTCAGGGAGAAATGGCGAATAACAAAAGTATCTGAGTCGAACTAAGCTGCTAATGTATCTAAAAATGTGTGTGGAGTTAACGTGAACTATATGGGCTGTAAATTAAGATAACAGTCAAGCCTCACTAATCTACACTTCACTAGACCACACGCTTCTTAGTGCACGCCAAAAATGTGCAGTCTCTTCCCCTGCCTCAGCCAACAGCTAATAGCAGATGCTGCAGGGAAGTCTCCTGTTACTAAGATTACATTATTTTTACAGCATTTACTCAAGTGTTCACTGAGACACAATCAATGCTCATAAATAATGAAGACAGAGCTCAGGTGGACCAAAAGTGAAACACTGGGTGCAACTTGGCGCTCTGTGGACAATCCCCGCCAGGGCCTGGGAGGGCTTTGGAGGGGAGCACGGGCCTTAGGCCATCCGTGTCCTGCAGGCTAATTTTTGCCCTTTTGGACTAACTCACTAAATATGCCGTTTTGTATTGCCTGCAGTCATCAGTGCAAACTAGTGATGCCCTATTTATGTTCTTCCTTAGTTGTATAAATAATGACTTAATTTCATTTTTTAAATACTCTTGGGATTGCACTTCTGCCTTTATGCCTCAGAGCTCAAATTTGAAGTGGGGCAGCCCTTGAGTGGGTGTTCACCCTCAAGAAACACTTTGGATTTGTCAGATTTCTCCCTAGTTTTAAGGCACTGAGGATATTTTACCTTAGTTTTGCATCATCACACAGTGATTAGGTTAACACGCAGTGTTTGCAGGGCGAGCTCTTCATCTCTCATTCACCCAAAGAATGCGCAGCGATGATATGAAATACCTAATGGCCTGGAGGAGAATTTGACTGTGTCTATGCTCTACCTGATACATCTAATTTCAGAACTCTGAGACCAGTTTGCTTCTGAAACATGGCACTGACCATGCATATTGCTCAGTCTCCAGACAGATAGGGTCAGGACTTACAAGTCCTTCTGCCCTTCCAGGAGAGCCCCTCGTGCTTGCTTCTGCCAGGAGGTCTACCTGTACTGCAGGTTAGCGCTATCTGAAGGATGCTGGGCACTGAGCAGATGCAGATCCTCCACCCCCTACCTTGTACCAAGTGCCTTTGGGCATGGCCTGGGGGCTCTCCCGTGGGTGGGTGTTGCAGGCACAGCTAAAATGCCTTTCAAAGAAGGAGCATTTTGAATTCAAATCCAGGTAATATCCCTAGCCGTAGCTGGTAAAAGTCACTGTGGACAGTGTAATGAGGTGCTTAACCTTCTGAGTCGTCTTCATCTCTTATGAAAGTGATGACTGGACTGGCACACAGCTGACCAGACAGGCCCTGCGTGAGCACCTGTCACTTGCCAAGTGAGTGGACAGACAGTGACACTTTCATTTAGCATGTTGCTTACCTGAAGCCGTTCGACTTCTCTTCCAAAGCCCTCTATGTGGCAACTCTGTCCCAAATCCACTCTGAAGCGCTGTTTTCCAGCCATGTTCGGAGAGGGGTAGTCCTGCGGTGCTGTCCATTCTGTAATGCAATGGCGTGGTTGCCTGTGTCTCTTAGGCCATGGCCACTGGACTCTCGTAGCAGCAGCAAAGGCAGAGCAACCCTCTCCAGACTCGGAGCCCCTGTTACTTTGAAAGTGACATTTTAGTGCTGCCCAAACTGGGCCTTTGACAAGACCTGAGTTTTTGGGTGTGCTGTGTGGAGAGGAAGGGTGGTTTCTAGAGCTTAATCTTTCCAGTGCTGAGCCTTCTGGGTTGACTACAAGCAATTCCAGTTGGAATAGAGTTAAACATACACTTACATATTTTCTGGATCGTATAGGAAAGGTTTAGTGCTTTTCTTGGTGAAACTATATGCATTGACTAGTTTCTTCTTAGAGCTTTCCCTTTCTTTGTGAGATTGGGTCAAGTTTTCTCAGTTTGACCACACAGTTACAGAGTTCTGTTGCTATTTGATTCTTACTATTCTCATAATACTGTTCACAGTGATCTCTCAGAACTGCATAGCTTTAGCAGGGTAAGAGGGTCCTCCTCTTGCCTGAAAGTTTCATTATCCCCCAGACATCAAGAGAGCCTCCACTACACTTACTTAAATGCGTGTGACTAGACCTGCTTACCTGGAGAAGGCCACAGAACAGGTCAGAAATCCAGTGGGAGCAAAGAATAACTCTTTCCATACTTTTACCTAGTAGCAAGATTAATGGATTAATTTGTACTGTTTGCAAGTACAAATCAGGGTCCTGTGCTGCTTGGCCACATAAGTGAATCGCAAAAGTGATTGCTTCTCTGTGACCTGCAGAAAGCCCAGACAACCTGGATTGGTTTATCTTGGCCCTGGAATGTGCTTTTGGATGGGCTATCTGGAAGGGTGAGTGGACTGAGAAGTGAAATAGCTTGGCAGAGACAACTGCTGTTATTAGAAGAGAGGGAGGGGAGAGATGCCTCAGTCTTCCCTGAAGAGTTGTGATAAAGCTTTCTCCTCTGGTTCCTTCCTCCAATTCTGGGAAGGGAGGAAAAGAGCTGTGTTGTGAGTTTGTGAAGCTTTGTTATCTCCTGAAGCAGAGCCTTTTCTGGCGCCAAGCTGAGTCCCGTCTTCTGAGAAAGGGAGCATTCCCTACCAGCAGCCCCGACAGCTTGCTGTTGCTAGCCACCAACTATTCCATGCTCCACCTACACCAAATCCTGCTCTTGTTGCTCTCCGGTACCCTAACCCTACCATTTTCTGGGTTACAGCAGGCCACTAGATTGTTCTCTGGCCTTTTTTTTTTTTTTTTCCTGCCTCATGGACCCACAGGAACTATCAGTGAAATAATTTCGGTCCTGGCAAGGAATGTCTTTCACGGAAAGTTAATGGGGACTTTTCCTTGGGTGTTGCTCCTGGGTTTGTTCCTACCCACCCAGGCGAATGGAGGTGGCTTGTTAATCCAGGGGACCTCAGTCTTTCTGTGCTAACGTTTGAAATCTAGGAGTCCTTTCATGTGGATTTATAGCCCATTCCTTTACAGCGTAGACAGAAAGTAAAATAGCTGTGTGTTGATGCTGCTCCAAAGCCTTCCTTTATGTATCAAGAAGGTCAGACAAGTTCTTCCAAAGTCTGCTAGGAATGAGTCCCAAAGCAGCTCTGTGGACAGTGGATACACCCTAGTGTCCTCAGAGCTGAACTTGGGTAACAGCGGTACCCATGTGGATATGACCTAGAGAGGCTTCACAGTCATAAGAGCTGTGCTCAAACAGTGTTCCCCTCTCTGCTGAAATCTAGTCAGCCTAGCTGAAACGCGTGTAGTTCATGCAAAGCTTTAGGCGGTCTCCTCTGAGAGATGGGGATTTTTTGGTATTGTTTTGTTTTGGTTTTGTTTTCCTCAGCATCTCTGTAGACAATGAAGAAAAATAAAAGTGGGTAAATGACAAATTCTGTGTGGACCAGCCCAGCCCTAGGCACTCATGCAAAAATCTAACAATGAAGAAAAGGCTAATATATTGCTAAAATGTCACTGTGTAGAGCCAGAAGGTCAGCACTTTTGTAATTATGGAGTGATGAAGCCAAGGGGAAAAGCCAACATTAACAAAAAGACGTGATTGTTTTAAATTCTGACCACCTTACTGGGTGGTTTCCCTGAGAAGATGTTCCAGATGTAATCTTGGCATAAATTAATCAGTTGCAAAACATCTGCAGGGTTTCTTAGAAAACGTGGAATTTAGCAGATACTGTGTATGCTCCAGCTTAACCCTCTGGTTCATATTTTGATTCAGGAAACAAATGCAAGCACTTGCTCTTCTAACCGTAAACAGCTCATAGACTGGAAAGTTGTTTAACGTTGTTTCTCGACCTTTTGTGAAAAAGGGCTCCAGATGAGATAAAACAATTAGGCAGCTGAGCCCCTGGGACTGTGTGTGCATGTGTGTGTTGGAATAGTCTGTTCAACTTGAAAACCTCCCCCTGCACCTCCTTCTGCACCCGAAGTGTAGCCATTGTTCCTGGAGGTCAAATATTCAGCTGTTTGAGTGACAGGATCTTTAACAGCATCTTTTTCATCAGTGAGCCAAGTCCTGTGCCCGCTTGTCTGTCATATCTGTACTCGAATTGCTTAAATATTGTTTCAGATGGGGAGGTTTTAATCTGGATATGCAGAGCGGAGTAATGCTGTGGGGGAATGTTTAATTGGCTCCCAGCAGAGCAGCGAGAGCCATGGTGGTGTGTGGGTTTTTTCCTCCAGAAGTGTTACCATTTTCACGTTCTATTAATGTCCTCTGGTAGTTTAAATGCAGCATCATATTACAGTGGAGTTTGTTTCCCTCCCAGACTGCATACAAATGAAGGTCATTTTACTTGTATTTTTAGAAGGTTGAGAAAACTTAGCAAATTTGTAGCTTTGAACAGCATTGTTGACTGTTGTATGTCTGCACAAAAATATTTCCAATAAACCTTTTATTAAAGCAACTCAATGGACCGACGCTTGTTTATTTTATATATCCCCCACCTCAAGTTTTACAGCAGAAGAGTATAATGTTAAGTGCAATCAAGTTTTAGCCTGCAAAGCCAGTGGGCATTTTTTTCATTACTTTTTTGGTGTATTTTAAGGGCCTGCTTCCATTAGCGCTACAAACAGAACTCAGGTTCCTTCCGATGGGACGTGAATCAGACCCCAAACGTAAGACTAGCATATCCAAATAAGAATGATACCAGCTGGCTTACAGCATGCACCTGGTATTCCTGTGGTGTAGCCAAGGGGGAAAACCTTTTTAATACAAACTAGGTGGCTCCTAAGCGTTTCTCCTAGGAATAACACGTTTGTTCTCACCAAGGCCTCACTAAAATAAGCTTGGAGGATTTTTTTTTTTTTGTTGTTCTGTCTATACTCAACTAGATGCAATAAGGGGAAATTAAGCCCTAAAAAAAAAAATCTTTGGACTATTCTCACAGCTAGAGTTGCAAGAGGCTTTTCTAACTGGGCCTATGCTCTCTCATATTGTTGCTGAGAGGGAAGGGTCTGATGTTGCATGAGGAAGATCAGAGATGCCTTTCTCTAGACCATCCTGAGAACAGAGGAAGGATGGATTTCTCCCATTTCTACCTGAGCAGGAATATCAAATCCAGTCTTGGGCGGTGTTCAGCTAATACTGCCCCGCGCACTCAAATTACCTCATCTTGAGAAGTTCCTCTCAGCTTCATTTGCCTCCAGTGAGACAGCCATGGGAAGCACTGCTCAAAGGCTTTCATGTCCCCAGTAGCTCTGTGTCCACAGACCCCCCCCAGGGGCCATGAGCTGTGATCCTCTGTGCTGCAACACATTCCTTCCATTGAACAAATGTTATTTCGTAGTCAACCGCAGACCACCGTGTCCCTCCTGAGCCTGCAGGAGGCTGGGGAATTACACACCAGGGCACCTCTGCAGCTGAGCTTTGCTAACCGGGGCTGTAAGACCTAAAGGCTCTGCCAACTCAGTGCAACAGCCTCATCCTCTCCAAACAAACACATTGTGCATGCACCGAGTAAGGAGTGATACTCGTAATGGCTGACGTTAACTTTGCAGTAAAAATTGGCCTGACTAGATTTTTGGTGGCCTCAAGGAATGCACATTGTAAGATCCTTATAGCAGGTAAAAGTGTATGAATTTTAATAGCGAGATCTTTTCTTCCACATGTTGTTAAATATTGGAATTCAATAGATTTTACCAGAAATGAAATGCATATTTGTATATAGGCTGGCTAAAAACTTGTCCTCCTTGGGGTGCCATAGCTAAATGAATGTTTTTTTCCTTATAGATTTTCACATTGCTGACAGAACCATTTTTAAAGCATAGAGAAACAAATTACTTCTGGATTTTTAAAATTAAACAAAAAGGGATTGTAAGCCAAATTTCCCCTCTTCCGCTTACAAGCCATTCCTTGAGCACATTTCAAAACACTTTTATCACAGAAGCCAAATCTAGTACCTGCTTTTCCTTTTTCACAAGAAATAAAAAGCCTCTGATGAACTCTTTGTGTATCCCTGTTGTACTGTATTATATGCCTGCTTAGTCCCTTGCCTCCACAGCATCAGTTCAGGCTGTAGGGACTTCACTGTATGTAAAGACTTCTGACGCATCTGGGCAATCAATTATTCCTAAGTAAAATCGATGATAAAACTTGAATAAGTTTTATTCAGTCAGTCGAGGGAGAACTTGGTGCTTAGCTGGCTGCTCCCTACACTGCTTTCTCTTGCACATTGTGCTAAAAGTGAAATAATTCTGAGAATTGTTAAATATAATGAATTGCTACTTAAAGCCCTTATTAGATATATTAGTCGAATAATCACCTCTGAGACTTTCTCTCTAGCAGTTTGACAAGGAAGGCTGTGAGAGCGTCTAGTGCTCATGTCCCAGAGCCAAATATTTGCTGGAGCAGCTGCTAAGGCCGTTGCTGGCGGTCTTCAGTGCCTCATACCAGACCAAAACGGAATCAAAGACTAAACCCTTAGATTAATGCTCAAGTCTGAAATGGGAGTATTAAAAAATAAAAGTGTAACTGAGAAAGGTCCAGTTAAGGAATGTTAAGCAAGAAGCTTTCAGAAACATAATCCCTTTCAGGGAGCGCTGCTCCTGCAGTACCCAGCCACCTAGACTGCTCCCTCCCCGAGACATCCCTCCAAATATAGCTTTGCGCCTCTGTTAACACTCCCAGTGTCTGCAGCGCCATGAGCCCTCAGAAACTTGGAAGGAGCCGTGGGTTTCCTGCTGCTTTCTCCTCGGCGGAAATATGGGGCTGTGGAGAAATGCACGGAAATGTCACGAAAAACCGCTGGGGTTTCTTGGCTGCCTGTGCTGCATGGAGAGGGCTGCGGAGGAGCTCTCGGGCAGATGCTGAGGAGCCAGGGCCAAAGCAGGGAGTGGTGGCACCACCAGCATGGCTCTACCCGGGGGGCAGCGCTTAGCTGGGGCACGCAGTGCAAGGAAGGTCGGTAGGAGGGAGCCAACTCCAAGGCACTGGCCCAGCCCTGTGCTCCCGTTGCATCTTCACGCAGTGACTACCGTGACTGAGCATGGAAGGATGCTGGAGGACATCATTACCTCATGATGGTAGACAATCACCCTGGTTCCCCCTCTGCATTTCCTGTGGGGGGTCAGGTGCTGGGTGCTGGCCCAGACACTGTCACATCATTGGGGGAGTGGGAGGGGCCTGTGCTAGCATGCTGTGGTAAGTGATCACACGAAGCTGCTCCATGAGTGATGAAGCCATACTGTGAAAATGCAAGTTCAAGGCACTTGGACACCTAAATGCTCCCATTGGGGAAGCTGGAGAGGTGGGGGAAAGGGGTCAACTGAGGCTGACCTACAGACTGGCCACAACTGCCTGGTGGTGGTTGTCATGGCCAAGCGAGCAAGAGGGTCCCATGGTCTTGACCGAAGCTGTGGAGTTGACTGTTCTTGTTGGTGACTGGTACAGGTAACTGTAGCACCTGAGAGTCTTTCAGGAGACAGGAGACTGGAAGAAAAGGGAACCTTGGGGTTGTTTTTGTTCTATTTATATAATGCATTGGATTTGTTTTTTAGCTGTTTACAACTGTGCTGATCCTTCTCCCTCTTCCCCTTTGCCACAATGAGGGTTGTGGAAGGAGCTGCCTCCCAGCAAATTAGTATAGGATTTTTAACTGGAAAAATTAAATAGAGACACCCCCCCCCATGGGGGGGGGAGTCTTTACAATAATGCGCAGATTGTCAGGTGTGTGAAATCAGTAAGATTCTTTCTCCCCAAAGCAAATATTGAGAGAATCAGCAGCTGCATAAGCCAGTATTTACCTTTAGGGTAATAAATCATAGGAGAGACTGCAAAAGAAGTTGGTGTCCTCTCCTCGGAGGACGGACAGCCTGCAGCCAGCCTTGACCCTGGTGCAGCGGGCACAGCGCCGGTGAGCGTGGGCAGCTTTGTCTCCCACCTAGATCTGGCTCGTTGCCCCAAAATATCAAACGCTTCACTAGTCCATCCCCCTGAGCTTTCAAAATATTTCCCAAATGCAATTGAATGAAGGTGGTCAGTATCTTGGAAGGGACATAAGCATTTTCATTTTACTGTTGTGTTATTACTGCTTTCTGAATATCTGTTAACCTGCCCTGCCTTAATGACAGAGCTGCGGCTGAATCCAAAAGTAGTGCTGCCCTATTTTTTTTTGTTTTCAGGTTAACCTACAAATGCAAACCAATTTGGGCTGTGCCCTGATGTGCTGCTGTAGTAATATGAGGAAGGCTTGACAGAGAGTAACTCTCATGTTTTTGAATTAAAAACATTTTTTTTTTAGCTGGATGCGTAACTAGTCTCCTGATTTTTGCAGGCGGCTTCCTGGAGAACTGTAAACAGCAAATAAGTGTTTATTATCTGAAAGTGAAGGACTATTGTGTTTAGGAAAACGAATATTATTGTGCTCTTTGTTGAACATCTGGATCGTACTTCTGCTATTATAAGCCTACTGAGTGAGTGAAAAGAGCCTGCAATGGCAGACAAGATTTTGTCTTCAATGTTTAAGAGGGCAAATTTTCTTTTCAGCTTTCCTAACATACTATGGGAGGGCGAACAACAGCGGGAAAACACCTCTCTCCTCAGTGCGTTGCGTGTGCTCACCAGGCCATGCAGGGTATAGACAAATGACTGACTGACTTGATTGGTTTCGCCTCGTCAAAAATTGCCACCAAAAGTGATAAATATTACAGCAAAATAAACGAAGTTAAAAGTGACTTGTGCCTGAGCCACCTGCCCACTCAGGGCACGGCTGCTGGCCCGGCACATCCCTCGGCAGCCCGAGCTGCGCGCGAGTCACCGTGCCCTCGGCGAGGTTTCTCTCCCGCACGTAAATGGAAAGCTCCCTGGAAAGGGAGCTGGCGGCTGGTTAGCGGGGAAGCACGAGCTGAAGGAGAAATGAGGCCCAAAAACCGTTATAAAGAAGCCAGGGCGGAGGAGCCGGGAGGACGTGAACCCTGAGCGGCTTGAAAAAGAAACCCGGGATCGGCACGGTGGCATTTTGGCGTTTTTCCATAGAGAACACATTGAGCTAAGCAAATACGACAGCGCTTCTGTGATTAAATTAAGTGATTAGTAAAGTGTCAGGCCGGCAAGCGGGGGGATTGTCTTAACACCTCGCGACTTGCTGCAGACAGAGGCTGGGCAGGGTCCCCGCTCAGCTGGCTCCGCTCGGAGGACGAGGAGGAAGGGGAATACGGCTGGCATGGGCTGACGCGCCGTGTCCAGGCCATTGCCAAGTGCTCCTGAGCCGAGAAGTGTTGCAAGCCCTGCTGAGGCCAGAGAAGTAACACAAAGGGACCTACAGAGAAGCAAGAAATACGAGCAGGAAACAATAAAATGAGATGCAGCTTGGAAAAATACAAGGGAATGCACGCGGGGAATGCCTACGGGCGTCACGCTGCTGCGCTCAGCAACGGACTGCGACCGCAGCAAGCCCCGCTTTTCCGCTGATAAATATGGAAATCCCCAGTAACGGCTGAACGGAGGCATTCGGTTATGGTGTTAATATGGGAGGAAAAGTCTTTTTCCTCTGATAAGGGCTGGCAATCAGGTAAGTGGCTCGGGAGGGGGTTGGAAGGGCTGCGGCCGCCCCGCTCCGTCTCGCGCCCGTCCCCCACAGCCCCTACACAGCCGTCACTGTGCAGGGGGTCTCGCACCAGACTTAGGCAAGGCATAAGCAGTAGGCCAACCGA